AACTTTTGGAAACATGTACCGGTAGTAAATATTTAGAAGAATCCAGATGTACTGATTTTTAAACCCCCGAGTAGGGCTGCCGTGCTTGTCCAACGCCAAGTGTTCCTTTTGCATTGGTGTTGGATGATGTGTAACAGAAGGTACGGTTACCCTCAGGTCTCCCTCTCACCCTCTGTCTGTCTCCTTTAGGGCATCACTCTGAAAATGAATGAACTGAACCACTGCATCGTGGCGCGAATCATGCACGGTGGAATGATTCATCGACAAGGTACGCATCCCTATCCAAGTACTCTGAAAATAAGAAGAATCAGACGGATAATGGAAACTGTTGGTGGGACTAACTTGCGGTTAATTGAAATGCTTCTATGGGTCATGCTCCCTGAGAGGGGAGGCCAAACAGCTGCGTCCTGGCGTCTGCTGCCTTTATTAACGTATTCTGTTTCCGCTTTAGGGACTCTGCACGTAGGAGACGAGATCCGGGAGATAAACGGCATCAGCGTTGCTAATCAGACGGTCGAGCAGCTCCAGAAGATGCTGGTATGTCACACACATTATTGTTATTGTGCCTTAGTGTGTATTTGTACTAGCAGGCGTCGTAACATTTGGATTTGTCAGCAGCTGCCGTACTATGCCGACAGTGCTAACGATAGTTTGTGTGTAGTTTATTTTCCATTATTGTTTTGTATCGTGTGTAATAAAAGCTGATACGAAACATGCCTTTCTTTACTGTTTCCGCACAGAGGGAGATGAGGGGTAGCATCACCTTCAAGATTGTGCCCAGCTACCGGTCCCAGTCCATGTCTTGCGAGGTAGGGATTCAGAAACACCTGCATGGACTTTAACATATTGTATTTTGGGTGGAAAAATAAAACAAATGTATAATTTCTTTGTTGCAGAAAGAGTCACCAGATGTGTCCCGACAGTCGCCCGCAAATGGACACGCCAGTGTAACCAGCTCCATCCTGGTAGGTTTCTTAGTTCAAAGAAGAGCATTTAATATGTATTGTTTTTATAGCGTATAAAAGCTATATCAGTCATAGTGCAAGGTATCGTGTCAGCTGTGAAGTTTCATACCTTGAAATTGCTACACCAGAATCAGTGGCACGTGTTGTTTCCTTCAAATAAAAACATGCCATCTGGTTTTGGTGTGATTTAATGGTTTTAATAGTGCGCTATTTAATTAAAACACTACATTTAAAACACGTCTTATCCCAACTAGGACCTGCCGGCGACGATCCAGCCCAAAGGCCGCCAGGTGAGATTTCCAAAGTCCTTACACTGAACTTATTCAACTGTTTGCTTTACTACCGATATCACAACTAACACTCGTTGCAACAGATCTGCACGTATAGTATGCACTCGTGTGTTCTTCCATTCCCGTCACATGTATTTAGTTTTGTTCTCCAATGTCAGGCAGTAACGTGACTCTTGAACATTGGAAAGGATTCCTCCACTTAATTAAGCAGAAGAAGAAAAGAGAATGCGAGGAACCCTCGGTCCGTGTCCTCTGAAAAGCATTCCTCAGCTGATTTAGGACATTATGTCTGTTTTGCTGTGCGTCTATCACGCCGTTGTACCTTTTTTAAACGTGGTAGAAACACTGTCATTTATCAGACTCCACATCCTATTTTCTTGACGCCCCTCTGCCGAATGTTTTCTTCAGCATGATATACGTGTAAGTGTGTGTGATGCTCTCAACCCCATAGATCTCCAGACCTGCTATCAAGGACAAATTGTCCATCAAGGTAAGACGTCTCTTAGTGGACCCTTTGTAGAAGTAGCCCCCCTCCCATCCCCATGGCAAAGTGCGGTTCCCCATCGTAGTGGTGTGTAGATCCCATGCTGGCTATTTGGTGTGTCAGTGGTCATAAAAGGCAACCCAAAAATGTGTAAGCCGCGTTAAGAAAGGTTGCTCGATAGCTGCGGTCCGCTTTCATTTTTCCAACTGTCTGTGCTGTGCAGCGCTTTGGGTCACACGCTGTCGATTTGCCCTCTCTTTCTGTCACCACGGGCTCGGGTGCAGCATTTTTAATTCCTTTTACGTTGGCAGCTTGGCCGATCATTTTGTATCCCCCCTCCATACATATTCATTGTCGTCTTTTGCCGCCGAGTCACCCGCTAACTCTGCCACTTTTACAGATTTACGTTCGCGCTCAGTTCGAGTACGACCCTACCAAAGACGACCTCATCCCGTGCAAGGAGGCGGGCGTCCCCTTCCGCGTCGGGGACATCATTCAGATCATCTCCAAGGACGACCACAACTGGTGGCAGGGAAAGTTGGAGAACACCAAGAACGCCACGGCGGGACTCATCCCCTCGCCTGAGCTGCAGGAGTGGTAAGTGAAAAGTGTTGTAGTGAAATAAAGGATACGTTTTTTGTAAATGTATGAATGTATTTATTATCTTGCCTAATCTACCTCTGTGTAGTCAACGACATCATGTACAAATGCTGTATAAGAAAATATTGTAATGTTACTAAAGTTTCTTGATTTTGTGTGTCGTATAGAGAACCGAAGTCCCTCCCTTTCCGCTGGAACTCCATGGGACCTTATTTCTGAACAATTATGTATTTGAAGTCAATGGCGAGGGAAAAGTTATCTTTCGATCCCGTTTGAATTGTGCCACGAATGACACACATGATGTTTGTCAATGTTAAAAAAAATCATTTCCAAGTAAAAAAAAGTCTCTTTGTCGTAAAACTGTGAAGTAACACTTATTTGTGTGTGAAACCGCTCAATGAACTCCATCTCTGGTCTCGCACAATACACGTCACCAACAGCAGAATGAGGTGAAAATCATTAAACGTCTGGGCATGTTGAGAGCTGCTATTACAGTTAGTCGGTTCTGTAAGAGCCAACATGTGGGACTGGCTGTACTGTACAAGGTTTCTGTGAGTGTTAAACGAGTGTAATGTTAATGTCAGCTAGCTAACAAGGTACAGTCCCGTGTTTTGTTTTAGCAACTAGTTTTCTGTGTACCTTGTCCTTGCCAACACTAATATTATCCACAGCTGGTAACGTGAAAACTAGTTGCTAAAACAAAAAATGGGAGTGTACCTTGTTAGCTAATGTTAGCTAGCTGACAGTACAGATTATACTCGTTTAACACTCACCTCGGCTCTTACGGAACCGACTTACTCCCCTTTTATGTATATACAGCTCTCAACATGGCCAGACTTGTAGTGATTTTGTCCGAAAGAAAGAGGTGAAATGTGCTAACGTGGCGGCCATCTTGGTGTTAGTGACGTGTGTGAGACCAGAGATGTAGTTCATTGAGCGGTTGCACACCAAAAAAAGGTGTTGCTTGACAGTGTTACGACATTTATGAAAAAAATGTGACTTGCCAAACTATCTTAAAAATGGACAAACATCATATGTGTAATTCATGGCACAATTCAAACTGGATGGAAAGATAATTTGTCTCTCGCCATTGACTTCAATACATAATTGTTCCGAAATAAGGTCCCACGGAGTTCCACTGGAAAGGGAGGGGCTTTGGCTCTCTATTGTTAAAGCACTTGGAGCTGCATCCTTTGTATGAAAAGCACTTTAGAAATCCAGCTTTATGAACGTTCAGGTCTTTGGTAATAATGAAAGGCACACATTTGTCTGAGGAAATCTGGGACTAGGCTAGTTGAACAAGTCCAGACCTCGTTCTCAACAATATAACTGATAAACTTATTTCGTGGTAATAAAAATGTTAGAAATCGCTGGAGGCAGTCAGAGGTTGGTGCAAAAAAGAACTTTACTTACGTACTGGCTAACCAAACATTGTTAGCATTTTCTAACTAAACCTTCTTGTTCCTTATCGGTTGACCTTGGTGAAAGTCGCTACACCACTCCCCGATTCATTATGGCAAGCCGATTTAGCTTTTATTCTTTTCTGGAGGATCTCAAAAAATCTATTCTTACTAGTAATAATGTTTATTTCTGATATAAAAAATAGAATGTTAACTAGTTAGAATGCAAATTCTTGATATCAGAAATTCAATTGTAACTAGTTGTAATGTGTATTCTTGATATCAGAAATGCGATTTTAACTAGTGAGATTTGCATCGCCGGACCGCTTCTCGACCTCCACCAAGGTTCACCATTAAGTGAGAAGGAGTTGTACTCTGAGGCCTTGTTTCTTACACACAACTTTTGGTGAACCTTAACTACCACAATCTTCTTTCTTTGTTGCATTACATAAACCTTATTTTATGTAATATATATAATACTACAACACATTCTTAACGTTCAGGTATTTGGTAATAATTAAAGGCACACATTAATGCCGAACGACATACGAGTTACTGTAAAGGTAAGGTACAGTAAAAGCGTACGTGTGTTTGTTGCAGGCGCGTGGCGTGTATAGCGATGGAGAAGACCAAACAGGAGCAGCAGGCGAGCTGCACCTGGTTTGGTAAGAAGAAGAAACAGTACAAAGACAAGTACCTGGCCAAGCACAACGCAGGTAAGCATTGCCGTACGCACACAGCGCAAGGAAGCTAATTGACTATATATATATATATATGTATTTGTATACCTAAGCTGGGATTTTGGGGCTTTTTTTGCAAGGCCACGTAGGGGTAAGAAAATATAACATTACTGTCGCACCTGTTTGGAGTTTGTGTTAGTGCTGCACGTCTGTTGCATTTCCCTCTGACAGACCTCTCCCACTGTCTTCTGACTAACAGTGTTTCAAGTAACATTTAGACGTAACAAGTTTTTGTGTTTTTGTTTAGTGTAATGAGGTTTTTCTTTTACAGTGTCTTTTTTATTAACCCTTCCTTCCTTCCGCTCCCACCCTTTGTCCATATTTCATGCTGTCTCTTACCCAATGACATGGCTGCATGTAAGTAACTCCAGACAGCTGGCGCCCAGCTTCTGTGTTTTTCTACCTCTATCTGCTTTTGAAAACGTGTCCCTAATGTGTCTTTGTTAGCAATGTATTTTCACAAGACATTACATATCATGTAGGTGATGTAACAAACAGAAACATCCAAACTTCAAGAAAAGTGCAGTTATAGTTCATCTTTATTGATTCCCAGAGGCAGTGCTTAGCACTGGATATCTTCTGTCTGGCGCATGGAGTACTTGGGTCTTGAGCCTTGTACTGAAATAAAAAGGGTAGGAAAACTGTAACAGTTGAAACATACAAAATAATGAACATCCAATTCTACTTAAAGTATATAAGAATAATATGCATAATATGTTTGGATTCTATTTAGTGATGAAAAGTGCAGCTAGATTAATTACTTTGAATTGTTTTTCCATCCTTGACTGTTACTAGTGCAGTTATGTGCCTGAGGTGAATTCTCCCTTCATGTTCTAATGTCGAGTTTGTAGCGGACATAACTGAGAATTCTGTTGTCTAAAAAATGTCGAGTAGAAGTAGTTTACACTCTTGTCAGGGAAGTGCCATTAGCTTGCGGTCCTGACTTAATACCAAGAGCGTTTGTAATGTTTGAGCAACCTTTTTATATCAATACTATGTCTTCACAAAGCAGGAGTCTGGTGTTGGGTGCGAATACGCTGTTTGTCAATTAACACTATGTGCCAGACTAATGCTCCTCTTGTGTCGCACAGTGTTTGACCAACTAGATCTGGTGACATACGAGGAAGTGGTCAGAGTGCCGTCTTTCAAAAGAAAAACACTAGTGTTGCTCGGTAAGTAGCGTTTATATTGTCTTTATTAGAGTGTGAAAGTTGTTAAAAGCAATTGTCCTTGTCTTCTGTGAGTAAGTTGTGAGATGTGACGATTGCAACACTTGAGGATTGAGGTTTAGCCAATGCGTGGTTGGATCCCCATGAGCTGGAGCTCGGTGATAGCAGACAGCTGTGTGTTGCTTGGAAGCCATCTTGGTTTCTTTCCTTTGTTCAATTGGGACCATCCCTGGCAAAGAACAGAAAGCACAATTAGCAAGACAAGAAGATTCACGCACTCAAGCAGAGAATTGCAAGTCCCAAAAATGTACACCAAGCAAACAATAGAGCGGTGTCTCACCTCAAGACAGGTCCATTCTGACTCAAACGAGCACATTGCTTGAGTGCAACCATTCAGCAGTGAGATTAGTTTAACTGGAGCAGTCCCTGGGCGGTTGATGGTCATTTTGTGTTTCTTCTATTTCCAAATAATCGTACCAACAGTTGTCTCCTTCTCACCAAGCTGCTTTCTGATGGTCTGGTAGCCTATCCCACCCTTGGCATTAGAGGGTGCGGACGATTGTGCCCGAGGTCCTCAGACAGCTCTTTAGTCTTGCCCGTGGTGGAGATTTTGAAATCTGATTGATTTGATTGATTCGGTGGACAGGTAACAAGTTGATATTATCAGTACTTTCTTAAAGGAAGAGGACTTCTCTAACCGGTCAGAATTCTTCTTGGTTGCAAGGGGATGGAATACTTATTTCACATAGTTAAATGCAACTCTATTTTGATCTTTTATATATTGTCCATTTCTGGATTTGCTTTTTGCTATTCTTACTCGCACTGTTATTATTATTCGTATGGTATTACAACAGTTCAATTATCTCTGCTCTCTTATCTTTCAGGTGCACATGGAGTCGGCAGGAGGCACATCAAGAACACGCTCATCACCAAACACCCCGACCGCTTTGCCTACCCCATCCCTCGTAAGTCAAGCACAGACAATACAATACACTATATTGCGGGGGTTCCTTGTGTCCCGTGGATTCGCTTCCTCTCTTGCTCTCTCCTCTTATCAATTAACTGTTCTTATAATAAAGATTGTCCTATATTTTGTACATAGCTGTCTCTGTATTTATTGGAAGGTTCTGACAAAGTGGTAGTGTTTCCTGCCACACCTACTACTACTACTGATCTTTAATGTACTCTAATTTTCTCCCACCCGACCCCTCCCTCTCTGCTCAGACACGACTCGGCCTCCCAAGAAGGACGAGGAGAACGGCAAGAACTACTACTTTGTGTCTCACGACCAGATGATGCAGGACATCAGCAACAACGACTACCTGGAGTACGGCAGCCACGAGGACGCCATGTACGGCACCCGGCTTGAGACCATCCGGCAGATCCACCAGCAGGACATGGTCTCCATCCTGGACGTGGAGCCGCAGGTAACAGAGTGGCCCTGGCCTTCTTGGAGTTGTCCCCTTTCCTGAGGCGGTTTTTGTGAATGTAAACAAAGGGAGAAACAAAGCACTTTTTAATCATTGGAGCATGTCGACAGGACTCTGTAGAGGCGCAATAAATACTAGCATCGGCCTAAACATTTGCCTAACACGTCCTCCGTTAATAAACATCGCTTCTTCCCTCTCTCGCCAGGCACTGAAGATCCTCAGGACGGCTGATTTTGCCCCCTTTGTCGTGTTCGTCGCAGCTCCCACTGTCACCCCAGGCATGACTGAGGTACGCTCTCTAAAAACCTTGATGTTTCGTATCGTGCTCGTTGCTCACGTTTCGTTCATTTCCACGTACTAACTTACTTGCACCGTTTGTCGTGCCTCGCTGTGTTCAAACCGCTTTCATTTGCTCTGCCTTACATATCTTTCAATGCATGTTTGTACTTTCTTCTGCATGCTTCCTTTACGTTTGCACTCAAGATTCCAAAGTGGTGCAAGAAACTGCCTGTGAGTACTGACTGGTTAGATGCTGAGCTTGTTTGGAAACGTGTGTGTTTGTGTTTATTTACAAATTGCTCTGCTAGCAATACTGTCACCGTCTACAGAGTAACTTCATACCACATACCAAATTGCTATCGGATCATTGAGATTATAAATATTGTTAAACATTGTAGCTATACGTTCCTACCTAAACAGTTAACCTTGTTTTCAGCATATTAGGGAGATATGTATCTCACTAGAAATGAGCTTTGTTTGGCCACAAATATTTGGGGAAAAGCCCTGCAAATAATTGATTTACTTAGAAATGTTTAAACGCTGAATAGTGCAACTTGCATAGCCCTCTTTTCAAATACACTTCGGTGCATTGGTGGAGAGAGCGTAAAACTAGATACATTCAAAGTGCTTTCACAGGATTTACATTTAGCTACGTTGGGTAGTAACAGATTACATGTGAGAGGATTAAGGACTGAAGATACAGAACCAAAATCAGATTACTGTGACATTTCGACAAAGGGGGCCATGTTACTTTAAACTCAAGTTTATAAATATAGATACTGCCTGTATTTTATTTTGCGTTCTGATTTAGGCTACTTTCATTCTTTATTTATTTAAAATAAAGAAAAATGTCTATGCAATTGAACAAAATAAACTATTTGTTTGCTTAAAATAATATGAATCGAGGTAATCCTAAAGTAACGCAAAGTCATTAAGTTATACATATAACGTTACTGAATACATTAAGGGTGATAAGGTAATATAACAAGACTAAAAACAGTATATCAGTAATGTAATATTTCTATAGAAATTGTCTCTGGTTAAGCGCAAACATTTGATACAAGGCACAGGTTATTATTACAAATGAATAATGATTTAAGGAATATAACACCGGTCCTGCCATTTTTGAATGGGACTTTCTAAGGACAATACAATACACTTACAGTAGGAAGAAAACACACATTTATCAATATACATGTACGACAATCCCCATCAGTGTCAAATGCACCGTCTTTGGAACAATTACAGACTATAGACACAAACGAGCACGTAGTTGTTAAAAAAACACTAAAACCAGTCCTTTAACCCCCCCCCCCCCCAGGACGACTCCCTGCAGCGGCTGCAGAAGGAGTCGGAGCTGCTGCAGGGCACCTACGCCCACTACTTCGACCAGACCATCATCAACAACGAGATCGACGACACCATCCGCCTGCTGGAGGAGGCCGTGAACCTGGTGTCCACCACCACCCAGTGGGTGCCCGTCTCCTGGGTCTACTGACAGGCGCTCAACGGCAACTAGCTCCACCCCCGCCCCCCCACGTGCACCGTCCATCCATCGGGATGCTACACGGCGGTCAAATCCCCCCTCAATCGCCACTCATCTCTGTAGACAAACTGTGGGGAAAAAAGAGAAGACACTAAAGACTCTCAATGCAGAGACGCCATCCTCCATCGACAGCCTCAAAGGCATATTGTTGTGTACATATATACATATATATATATATATATATAAATGATAAAAAAACTAAGTGAATATGTCCTAGTTGAAGGCTGGGGGGTGAGGAGAGGAGGGGAGGGCAGCGTTGGTAGATATTTTGTACTTTTTCTTTTGTAATCGACGGGCGGGTGGCCGTATTGGAAAGGCAATAGCGAGCATGACCGTAAAGAAGTCTTATGTGGGTGTGTATGTGTGTGTTGACCTTTTTAAAGGCTCTTCTCGTGGTACTCTCTGTGTCCTCCTCGCCCCCTACCCCCAATCTCCTCACCCCCAATCTCCTCGGCCCCTGTGACAAACAGGCCGAGCTTTAAAGCACATCGGAAGCTGCTACAGTGGCGACAAGCATCTCCCGAGGCAAGCGTGAGAAAAGCAGAAAGCACAGGACGCTTGGCAGTTTCTCCCTCCCTCCTCCCCCCTGCCTTGTATTTATTTATCTCTCTCGCTGGCCCTCTGTGCCTGTCTCTTGCCCACCCAACCCCCCACCCGGTGTTGCTGTAGTATCTTCTTCTTCCATTCCTTCCTATCCTCTGACGGTCTTTGTTTACACCTGTTTGCACAAAAAATGGACAATGAAGAAGAAGACGTGTTCTGCTTTAGATTTACTCCCCCTCCGTAAGGCAAATAGACCTGGAAGACCGCGCTCGGGGCACAATCGGCTATGAGGAAAAGCACTTGCATCCACCGCTAACCGTGGCTTTTGAACTGGAAATTAAAACAATAAAAAAGCAGAGAGGAGGAAGAATCTTCTGCCTTATCAGAGCCTCGGGGGAGGAGTCTGTAACACCTATGCACACCCCCGCCGGGCAGAGCACCACCTTCCTCTGTCTCAACTAGTGAGCCATGCTTGTTTAAATAAAGTCTTCATAGGAATGTCTTCTTTGGAAGGGCAGGGAGTTAGGGAGGGCCTTGTGAGGGTGGGATAAATCCCAACCCTAGAGCCGCCATTTTGGAACTGTTAACTGTCGTCTAAAAAAATATCAATATAAAACGAGTATTCTTGTTTTAAGGGAGAGAAAAGTAACTCTTGTGTGTAAATGTTTCAATAGTGCGTACGTCATACGAGTGAATTACCAAGAGCCAGTGTATATTAACCCTTCAAAAGAAGCTCGGTATGTGACATAACCTCTCCGCGCTTTGCCGGAAGTGGCGCCGCAGCCGGCTGAAGGGTCGACGTGATTTCTAAATAAAAGGTCTGTGTAGTGCAGTGTGGCGGCGGCTGCTGCTGTTGTTCCACTTCAAGTAAAGTGTGTGTATTTTCTTTTTTTTCATTTCAAGTCCTGTGTAAATTACCTCTGCGAATTGACTAAAGCAGCTCTTATGTATGAAATGTTCTTGTTCTTTTTTGTTATTTCATTTTTCAAAAAAATATATTTCCTTTTACGTGTTTAAAGTAACAGGCCTCGTCTTCTTTTTGTCTTTCGCTCACATATTTACACTGTATTCAATTAATTAAGCTATGCGATCAGGAGGCCATTCAGTCATAGTATTAGCATGTCGAAAAATGCAACAAAAGAACTGGGATTTTATGTCAAAATAAGGCACGGTATAGTGTGTAGAAACCAGGCGTTAAAAATGACAGAAAAGTCATAATATAGCATGTCGACAAAAATGACAAAATTCATAGTATGTCGAAAAATGGAAGACATAAAACGGGATTTTATGTGGAAATAAGGCACGGTACAGCGTGTAGAAACCAGCAGTAAGTCGTTATAAATGACAGAAAAATCATTCTGTGTTGTCTTTTGACTTTGACTTTTTTCAACATACTAACTATACTATGACATTATTTTGCATATTTTATACATACAATACTATGCCCTTTTTTTGCCTGTTTTCAACATTACTTTTTGGCATATTTTCCACATGCTATACTATTACTTTTTTTGCATTTTTTCGACGTACAATACCATGACTTCTTTTGCATATTTTCGACATGCTATACTTAGATTTTGTTGCATATTTTCGACATGACTTTTTTGGCATATTTTCAACATGCTATACTATAACTTTTTTGGCATATTTTATACATACAATACTATAACTTTTTTGGCATATTTTATACATACAATACTATAACTTTTTTGGCATATTTTATACATACAATACTATGCCCTTTTTTTGCCTGTTTAACAATCCTTTTTTGGCATATTTTCGACATGCTATACTATGACTTTTTTTGCATATTTTCAACATTATATTCTATTACGTTTTTTTCATGCTACACTCTATGTTGCTTTTTATGGCACTTGGAAAAGACAGTCCTTTGTCCACATTTTCAAACTTCCTCAAAGATTTGCATTCTGCTTCCACAAAACCACTGTCATTCGAGCACTATAAAGAGACCAGAAACAATCGCCAAAGCATTGACTCGTGTGACCACAAGAAAAGGAGAAAGCAAGATAAACACTTCTTTAGACAAAACGAAAAGCATGTTTCTTACCATTGATGATCACTTAGACTGGCGGAGACAATCGCCCGTCGCTTTCTTAAATTCTTAAAAACACAGTCATGCTAAAAGTTAAAATAAACAATATATAGTCTAAATGGGCAAAGACAATTACTCTATACACAATAAATTACAATATTTCACAAGAAAATAAAAATCGAATAATTTAGACAATATTTAGAATAAGGATACTTAATGAATAAAATAATTGAACAAATATTTGCCATTTCTTCGTGATGCACTACTTGACAAAAATAAATCCACCAATTAAAATGCTACTGGTATGCGTTATGTTGATAAACTTGTTATTTCAGCACAGATTAAAAGATTTGATTTAACCAGACACACTATTTAGGTCAAATGAATATTTCCATTAGTCTGCTTTTGTAAGACAGAATATTCAGATTGGCTTTTAATTTGTAAATTATGTTGTGTTGCTGTTTTAATATGTTTTATTCTATTTTATCTCGTTTTATCACCACTGTAAAGCGTCTTTGAGCACCTGAAAAAGCGCTTTGAAATTAAATGTATTATTATAAACACTGTGACATGACACAGATACTACATACTTTGTCTCAATAATGACAGTGCAGCAAACAGAGACACTGCAGCACTTTAATCACACTTGGCATTTCTAAGATTTATTCACTGAAGCGCCCAATCTCAAGGCAACCACTTGTGCTTTGTTAAAAGTCAGCTATCAAAGTCTCAAAGTTACCAACTCCATATCTCTGCTGCTCCTGACAAAGAGCAAATGTCGAGCACAGTGTCCGAGCCACTTCTCTGCAGGCTTTTCTTTCCCCGGAAAAATTACATTTAAGCTGAGCCCTGAGTAATATCAGTCTTCCAAGCATTTGCATTCATGTTTTTTCTTCTTCTTCTCAGTCTAACACCAGATAACTGCAGTTTTTCTTTTTGGTGCAGGATCTCACAAACAACACAGCAACCACCCCCCCCCCCCCCCCCCCCCCCCCCTAAATATGGACCTCCTACACTGGCTCAGCTGAACCCTAACATGTGGCATTATAATATTTTGAAATGGCCAATATTTGCTTGTTACAGATGGTTTGCTTGTACGAAATGCCTATCTGTGTGAGCATCTGTTTACTTGTCTGGTTGTTTTCTTAATTCATGTTTATTTATTGTTTTGTAATGTTTTATGTCAGCAATCAGTTTTTTAGATTAGATTTACATTTAATTCGTTTTTAGGTACACTGTACTCTGCATTTACAGAGATGTCTATATGCACAGTCTGTCCCTGTCAAATGTAACCTATTCAAATGAATACATACACATTATCTTATACCATCGTTATATGGTCGTTATATTCTCACATAACTTCCATACTAATATGTCACACAATTGTTATTGGTTATTTTCCACTACACTTGCTATTGTTTGTTTCATTGAAAAATAATAATAATAATAGCATTAAAAAAAAAAGTAAATACCATTTTTGTAATTGTATTGTGATGGCATTTCATATTGAGGAAACTACTCAAGTTATGTTAAGTAATCAGGTTACATTACTTTTACTTTCTGATTTGTAGGTACTGTTTACTGCCCATTTTTAAGTACATAAACAAACATGATATATAAACCACTGTAAATGTTTACAAAATATATATTAAACTATCGAGCAAATAAATTGCAGCCTTCACTAGTTCATGTTATGTTTATCTCACGTTACGTTACACGTTGTTTTTAACATTAAGCTAACACTCAGGTGTTTTCAATTGAACTCAATGAGGGGTTATCCGTCCTCTCGTGAGCGCTCACAACAATGCACGTCTGTGTGGCAAATTCACGCTAAGGTAACGTCAAAAACCAGCTGTAACTATAATAATGCTACTTTAAATTGTTTTACTAGTTTAAGTGTTTGGGCTTACCTGTTTGGCACAATTCATCCACACAATCCGGAAGACCGTTGAGTTGTTTTCATCCAAACGGGTGCTCCTCTCTCTCTCTACCCCACTATTCAGTGCAACAACGTGCACCGTTAACTATGCTTTTACAATGACGGGCACCTTTACATTAAAATACAGGTAAAACAAATATTACATAAAGTTCAAAAATATACTTAAAGTACTAAAAGTACTTGTGTGTGCTTTTTTTGTGTGTACTCATGACTACATTCCCAGCATGCCTTGCGATGGAGCTGCGGTGCAGGGTGAAGTCTGTCCAGCAGATGACAGCGTTTCACTTTGGATTTCCTGAGGAGGCTGGATTTCTCTGCATCTTAGAACTGGAGAATAGAAACATACTCAAATGCAATGTTTTTATTCTGATTATAACGAGGCAACATGATTTTTTATTTGTCCCATTAGCAGTGAGTATGCTGGGACTGTTCAGCTGTGTCCATATTTAAATCAATAACCAACCTCCACACGCAGACATCGATACTTTTGTAAAATAATAAATAATTAAAGAAATGGAGCCACTCTTGCAGGAAGTAACAGTAAATTGAAGGTTTTGGTAAGTGATCCATGACTTGCATTTGCACACACACACACACACACACACACACACACACACACACACACACACACACACTTACTTCTCTGTATTGTACAGGCAATTATGCCGTGCTGAACCATGGCGAGTTCAGAATAAAACTGGGTTAACAGCTGCCTGCATCCTCTCTCCAAATGCTTGCAGCTCTCACACACACACACACACACACACACACACACACACACACACACACACACACACACACACACACACACAGTCACCTATCCATGCACAGACAATTGGCCTGGTTCTTCAAGTGGAAGACATGTCACACAGGGCACAGAGCACACAGCTCCAAGTAACAAGGCCCTGTGGGACATGGGGGGGGCATGGTATACCTGCCAGAGTGAGTAATACTCTTCACCCCTTAGTGTGTGTGTGTGTGTGTAGGCAGAGGAATAAACAAAACATCTGTGTGCTTGTAGCCTGATCTGCCCTCACTGCAGCGACGGTTTCCACTTTGCCCCCTCATGACACACACTTTTTATTCTTGGAGGGTTATTATGCCGTGACACTGTAATGAAGTGAAACTGATCTCATTTGGGGCAAAAGTGACAGAGCTTAGGAACCCCCCCCCCCCCCTTTTTTTCCACACACACAACATATGGCAATATGTCGGCCTGGATAAAAACATCTGGCAGCTTTAAATTCTCTAAGTTCACGCAGGCACAAATGATTAGAATGCAGTTTTATGTCACAGCTATGGCAGAAAACAAGATGGCCAAAGGGAACATTGAGCTTTCTTTAGACTGAGGATGCAGCTGCTTAACTCTATAACAGCACACTGACTCAAGTACTCAAGTACTCTAACCTGTGGGAAAAAGATTTAGCTTTATTTATATCGCTGCTGCATCCTGGAAGAGTTCCCTCAGTTGGTCTGTGAGAGAAAAGGAGTCAAATTAAAGTGTCAATCCTTATACATTCTGTATACATCACAGTATGAGAAAAATAAAGACCTTATTGAACATTAAAGCATGTAAACATGTTACAGTAGAGTAGACAGTAGGCACAACATACAAAAAAGAACATGCAAATGAACACAATAATGTCCTCTTTAATACTGTAACAAGTCTTTAGGTTATCTGGCTGCTATCACACTTTCTACATGTTTCATCCTTATTTTGTATAATACTGCTTCTGATCTTTTTCTACCTGAATGTGCACTTATTTTATTTGTTATTATTATTATGTGCATGCCTTTTTGCTTTAACAATGTACATTTCCCCCTAGGATTTCTGATTCTAAACTAATTGTCATTTTTTGTTGCTATCCAGTTTACTTTTACCTAAAGGAATAGTTTCACACCTTGCAAAATATGTGAAAAAATAATTATGTTGTTCTACAGGTATGAAGTGAATGTCTAATGTTGGCTGACAGGCAAACATTAGACATAAGGGCATTCGGTAAAGAAATAAAGCACAACTTCAAACACTAATAAAACTGCCGGCAGTGGCTCAGTCAGTAGGGGCTTGGACTGGGAGCCGTAGGGTCGCTGGTTCAAGTCCCCGACCAGACCTAAATATGGAGTGTGGACTTCTACTTGGAGAGGTCCCAGTTCACCTCCTGCCCTGCCGTGGTGCCCTTGAGCAAGGCACCGGACACCCCCCTTCCCCCCCACTCCCATTGCTCCCCGGGCGCTGTACAATAGCTGCCCACTGCTCCTAGTACTAGACTCCTTGTACTAGGATGGGTTAAAAGCAGAGGCCAAATTTCACTGTGTGTGCTGTGTGCTCTGCATGTGTGACCATTAAAGAGGGTTTCATCCCTCCCTATTCTATTCTATTCTATTCTATTCTACCTGACTTTTACACTCTGATTTTTGCACAGATTCAACACATGCAATATCAAATGTTCCTCAGTGAGCTTTGAAAGTGCTGGGAGGCACATCCTAAACATTTCAAAACATATAGAGCTGAAAGCAACAACTTCTCATCACTGGAACAGATTCCAGTGATGAGAAGTTGTTGCTTTCAGCTCTATATGTTTGATAGCCTATTGAGGCTAATTAACTGTCTGAAAGTATTTTAAGATTCTTCCCCATGTGCCTTTCTCTACAATGCCAGTGCTTTGATCACAGCAGAATAACTAAATGGCTACACTATGGGCAGAGCTGTGAAGGTGGGAAAAAATAAGAAACTTTGTTTATCTGCCTCGAACCACATCACATTGTATCCTTAACGCTAGATGAATTTCCTGCCAGGTTTTTTTGTAGCCATAAGTCCACAATCAGAGCATGTTCTGTTCGACTCTCCTGATTTAGTCTTATTCTAAAACTGAGGCCGGGTTGATTCAGTCTGACAGGCAGGTGGATATTGAAATGTTCAACTATGATGGTGAGTATGTTTTATTGAAGTTTAAAGCTGGTTTGTATGAAGTGTCCTTGTGATTTAACCCTGCTGTTCTCTGTTTTCAGGTTTAACTCCATTGCATGCAGCTGTCTTGTCTCACAACGCTGTGGTTAAAGAGCTGAGGACTCTGCCATATATGAGCACAGATTTCCCAAAGGAGCTGGCGCAGAGGGCACACATGTACGTAGAGTGTATCAAGACTCTCCTGCTTACGGGAGCCTCCAGTGGGACGAAGGTAACTATTCAAATCATTTGACTTTGGTACATGTCACACTTGTCGCATTACTTTGAAGCTTGCATTGTTTTGTGCAGGATCAAAAAAGTGGAAGGACGTGTCTTCACATGGCTGCCGAGGAGGCAAACGTGGAGCTGTTCAACATTTTCCTGGACCAGCCGCAGTCAGCTTTAAATGTTAAGGTTAGTCATTGTATTTGCAATCAAAGGGAAACTCACTCACACACGCACACACACACACACTGCACGTTATTGAATGTACGGTTCTGTACGTTTCAGACATTCAGCGGCAACACGGCCCTGCACATTGTCAGCTCTTTGCAAAATCATAAACGTCAAGTGGAAGCTGTGAAGCTGCTGATGAGGATAGGTGCGGTCCCCGGGGCCAGGAACTTTGAAAATGAACTGCCGTGTCAGCTGGTGCCCAGAGGACCCACTGGGGAAAAGGTCATTCTGATCCCTTCAAACAAAGGCAATAATAGGTTGTTTGTTTATTAAGTATACTGTAAGTGTGTAGAAGTGTACGTTGTCGAAACATCTAATTATTAATTGCTGATCTGAGTTCTTTAATTTTTTACAGGTGCAGCAGTTGCTGAAAGGAAATATGTACATGCTTAAGTGAAGCTCAGAAACACTGTCAGTCAGACAGTCCAATCTATTATTATATTATTTGCCAAAAAAGGCAGATGCTGGTTGTTTCAGTGAAACATGCTTATTGTTCATTACCATGTAATGCTCAAGGAGAAAGTGAGGGTATGAATCTTGTTTATTAACATTAAGGATTGGGAATATGCTCTGTAAATCAATATTTGTTTTGGATGATTTATGATTATTTCTGAGATGTTTTTATAGTGGGCGTTTTTTTTCTTAACAGTTTTTTAAGAGATTTTAGTTCTTTCGTTAAGTGAAAGAGTTTTTTTTTATTATTATATTTTGAAATCAATTAGTTAACATGTTTGGTATTTTAAAATGTTCCATTTTCTTCTTTCTTCATGCATTTCCTCAAATGTTTAATATTGCAGTTGAACAGTTTGTGTATTCATACGCTGTGTCAACAAGCCCTAAAAACCTGCATTTGTAAATAAAATGACCGTGCAATAAAGTTTAAGAGGTGATTGTTTGTATTACATTATTTTTCACTCTTCAGCGTACTAAGATAAGCCTACTAAGAACATTTTAATGCATACTTGCTTTGTAAGCTTTAGGGTTATGAGTTCAATTCTTATTAAGGTAATGTGACTTTTTTGGCTCAACACCAAATAATGACTTATTTCACGAGTTGCTCTTATTGCATACTGTATTTGTATGTAACATTGCCTGTCAGATGGATTAGCTCAGTGTGATAAAAAAAAAGCCCTCAGAAAGTATGAGGTTGTTAGTTCAACTCAATACGAGTCTGGTTAGAAGATCTGAGGTTGTGTGTTCGATTCTTATTAGGTGCAGTAACTTTCTAAGTCCAATTTCCCACAGAAAAAGTACAAAATGTGTCCCTAACAACTGTGAAGTGTGTTCAGTCATATAGCTCAGAGTGGAAGATGTGTGGTCTGTAGAGCTGAGGTTGTGTGTCCAATTCCTATCTTGGGTTGACCATAAAGACATTTACTTTGAAAGGCTATTATATTTAGACGTTTCTTTGTCATATAGCTCATGGACTTATGAGGAAGCTCAGTAGAGCTGATGTTGTGTGTTCGATACTTAAGATTTTAAGGTCCAACACCCATAATAAATGAGTCAAACATGCAGAGGTTGTGACACGAACTCTACCATAAACCTCATATCTGATAGCTCAGAGAGATACAAGACTGTTCTGACGCACTGAAGCCTTAGGTTTGATCCTCATGAAGTGCAGTGATTTTTCCAAATACAACACCCACCCAGTGAAAATGTTTTTTTAAGTCCAAGACCCAAAGTGTAGAATTATATTACCAAGTGACACAGAGTTAACCCAGGACAAATGGCTCACAGGAATAAACCACAGCCTTGCCAGGTTGAGCTGAGGTTTTGGGTTCGATCCCCATGAGGTGCATAGATTTTTGGTAGTTTAACAACCATAGTGCAGAATTAGATTACCAAACAAAGTTTTTTTGTCCCAGGTCAAATGGCTCACTGGGATAAAACACTGCCTTGAAGACTGGATGTTCTTGGTTCAATCATCTTTATTTGCACTGGTTTTTCAGGTAAAACATCCAAAATGGTGTGAAAAAAGCCTAGAGAAGAGTTTTTCATTTTAAAATGTTGGTGGCACAATTGTGTGACATACTTACAAGGACAGATTTTTTCAGATGGACTGCACTATGACTTATTTTATTTACATTTTTATTTGTGACATAATCTACCAAACAACAGGTCACTGTCTCAATCTAATAGCTCAGGGTGATACAACGCTGCTCAGGTGAGCTGAAGTTTTGGGTTCGATCCCCATGAGGTGCATAGATTTTTGGAAGTTTAACACCCAAAGTGCAGAATTACATTACCAAACAAAAGTTTATTGGCCCAGGTCAAATGGCTCACTGGGAAGAAACACTGCCTTGAAGACTGGAGGTTGTGGGTTCAATCTTCTTTATTTGCACTGGTTTTCAGGTAAAACATCCAAAATGGTGTGAAAAAAGCAGAGAAGAGTTTTTCATTTTAAAATGTTGGTGGCACAATTGTATGACATACTTACAAGGATAGTTGTATTGGATGCACTGCACAATAGCTTGTTCTATTTCCTTTTTTACATTGTCATTGTGACATAATCTACCAAACAACCTAAGACTTTCACTAATGAAATAGCTCAGTGGGATACAACGCTGCTCAGGTAAGCAGGAGTCTTGGGTTCGATCCCTGTGAGGTCCATGCATTTTCTAAGTCTAACGATCCAAAGTAGAGAATTAAGTTACCAAATGAGATGTAGCAGTCACTGGTCAAGTGGCTCAGAGGGATAGAGCACAGACTGTGAGACTGAAGGTTGTGGGTTCAAGGATTTTCAGGTGCAGTAATCTTTAAGTTTCAAAAACCCAAATGAACCGGTCATAAGCTCTTCGAAACGTAATCATCTCAGGACAGATAGCTCAGTGGGATAAGTGTCAGGTCAGAAGACCTGAGGTTGTGTGTTCGAGTCCTCGTGAGCTATAGTGATTTTTAAAGTGCAATACTCAAAATGAAGAAGATAAATGCGCCCGGAGCACAGGTCTTCATGTACATGTGATGGTGGCCGGATTGGGTCTGTTCTCGGCATTAAGGCGCTGGTGTCGAGTTCGGGTCTGTCGCTTAGCATATACGGGTTCGATTCTCCGAGTAGCTGAGTTAGGCAGAGTAGCTGCAGCAGGTAGTGCACAGTAGATGAGGCAGGTAGTTCATAGTAGATGAGGCAGGTAGTTCATAGTAAGTGAGGCAGGTAGTTCAGGTAGTTCATAGTAAGTGAGGCAGGAAGAGTAGGCTCGCGTAACGTAGGAGTGTCGCGTAGGAGAGGCAGGTAGGATAAGAGAGGCGGGAGAGGGAGGTAGCGTAGGAGAGCAGAAAAATTGCAGAAAATCTTTTTTTTTTAGCTTTTTTCCCAAATTTTTGCTTTTTTTGGTCCTGAAAAGCAGCACTGCAGCCGCAGGGGGGATACGAACCCTGGCATCTAGGATTCTTCCTGGCTCACTGTGCACCTGCCCTACCAGGTGAGCCACTGGGTCATACAAAGAGGAAAGGTTTAAGTTATATTTATCATGACGAGTAATAATCACTTAAAAAAAAAAAAGAAAAAATAATGAAATTTATTTTATACGTCATTATTAATGACTTTTAGAAACTATTTATGATTTTCTAAAGGCATTTCACATTTTAAGGACATTATTTGCTAATTATTGTCAATTTAATTTACTTTTCTATGACTTTTTGTTTAATGATTTTCTGCTCTGACTTTTTAAACGACTTTTTATGAAAAATGTCATTGTTTTTTGTAACTTCTCTTTGGCAAACATTGTAATGAAATTCTTGTGACTTTTAATCACTCTTATGAATGTTTTGCTATACTATATACTATGACTTTCCTATGACTTTTACTGACACTATTAAATTACTTGTGGCGTAGTAAACTATTATGGCATTTCTAAAGTTTTTACTTTCCTAAGACTTTCTGAAGACATTTAAAGGTTTGCGCTTACTAAGACTTTTAAATGCCATACTTTACCACGAGTGGAGGAAGAAGAGAAGAAGTGAAGAAACCCGGCCGTCCTCAGATTTGTTCCAGAAACTCTGCACTCATCTTGGGGAGAAATGAAGAGAGGGAAGACAGCGTTAGGATTATTCTGGTTTAAGACATTTTAAAAACTAGTTTTTCTCTTGACTTTTTTAAGCTTTTAAAATTAAAAACATAAAAGGTAAACATTAAACTATATAATTTATAGTAACTGTTTACGCCCCTCACAATGGCGTAGCGTAAACAGTTACGCTACGCCATTGTGAGGTTGTAAACACGGAAGTGGAACGTGACCAAAACACATTCAGACCTTTCTGATAAATGTTAGCGTTACTGTGAGTAAACCTGACCCACGCGTAAAACAACAACACTGTCTACTAACAGTATTTACTTACCAATGTTTACGGGATAGCAGAATGCGCAGGTTGTTTGTAGAGAAGGAAAAACGTCAACAAGTTATTCCACACCGGTGCCGTGCTGCTTACACGATGAGATTTCCGGGGTGTTCCCTGCAGAGAGGCTCAGCTGCTGAACGCATCACATGTAAACAACGTAGTAAACTATAATCTAGTAGTTCTGCAGCAAAACTGTGCATTAAAAAGGGATAAAAGTCAATGTATGGAAGATTCATGCAACGCTGACGCATGCGCACCTCGATTAAAAAACAGATAGGCAGTGAAAAGTAAGTACATTTACACACACTCATTTACAATAAGTGTGTGTGTGTGTTTGTTACAATTTAGATATTTTTTCAATATTATCACAGTTTTGTATCTTTCCTCTTTTTCTGATTTTTGTTTTGTTTAAAGTAATATATGAATTTTTCATATATTTAAAAAAATCTTTCCAACAAAATCTGGAAAGTATTATTTGAAAACCTTTTCCACTATATTTTGACAGGATTCTTGGAATTGTTATTTTTTAATTGTTGCATTTGTTCTTAAAGTGGCAGAAGGTAGAAATGTAAGGACTGTAAATGTTTTTGCTGATCTCTCTTTGCTGTTGTTTTTCTTCTGCCGTGCTGTGAAGTACTACCCCCCATATGATTTGTCATCATCATGACATCTTCACCCGCCTTTTAGCTGCATTTATCCTTCTTAGTGTAAAATGAATAGGTTATGACCCTGCAACATGGCTTCCTCTGTGTCTCCCTCGTGTCCTTTTTATAGAACTCTGTACTTTAACCTTAATGCTTCGCTTTGACCTGTAATTACGGTATTGTGCTAACATGCATCGTCGTTATTCCATGCACAAGAATCCCTTTTAAGTAAATACTGTCCAATAAAAGATGAGGTAAAATAAAAATTCATATAAACACTTGTTTTAAGTTAAGTGCCAGCATATTGATTGTACAAGCTGTCCTGGTGGTGTTGCAGCTCATTCATGGTACATTTTCTTTCCAGGTGACCATCTTCCTGCACTTCCTGTGGGTGAGGCCCCTCCAGGCCGCGGTGGTGGGGGGGCTGCTGTGGGCGGAGATCGGTCCGTCATGCTTGGCAGGCATTGTGGTGCTCATGATCAAGTGAGCACCAAATATCATGATGATCTTTGGAAGACTCTTTTCTAAGTTCAGGTAACACACACCCTCACATAATCCAGATATTCCATACAAGCTGATAGCGTTGCAAATGTACAGATTTACCTTGCACATTTTAACTGAGCAGAGGTCTCTACTCAAACACCACACAAGCAACACAAGTATCAAGCACACCTTTGAAAGTCATATGTTATAAGGCTATTGTTAAGCATTAATACATTTGGTGCTGTGTACTGTACATGTGATGTATGGAAACTTCTGAAGCAATGGAGACGAGACTCAGAGAGACACGAGGAGAGCAGGAACTGTGATGGTAAACACCGATGGTTTATTTGGAGCTTCGGCCGGAGAATTCACAAGACATGTGCTGTGCCACGAGTTGACACAGCGGTTTCCAAACCAATTCTGAAGATCTCTACCCCAGACCTATTTATTTAGCTAGTTCTGAGAGAAGAATCAACATTGTGCATAACAAGATAAAACCATCACACGTCTATCAGCTGACGCCAACAGGCAGGAACAGGGAGACAAAACACTGAGAGCACAGCAGCCCAAGGTTACAGGACTGTGCTCCAGTGAGGGCAGTCCAAACTGATAAACTGGGTCAAAGTTATGGGCCTAGGAAAATATTTCCTCAACAATACATATGGTCAAGTAATAAATAATATAAAATAACCTGGTTTCTCACTGCACTGAAGTCCCAATTATCAGACGTGACATACCTTTACTTTAAGTAGCTCTAAGTGGAAGAACCTTGTAACCTTGTAACCAGTAATGTTCAAAATAGGATCCAATGTAGCTTTCACATAGAAGTTGTCCCCATTGTTCTTTAATAAACAATTTCTGCAGTGTTCATTAAACTTACATTTCCTTTTTCTTCTGTTCTCACTGACGACAGGATCCGCGGTGGGGTCTGGGATCAGGATCATCGAGGTGTACGTCTGGGAGAAATCCTTTGCTGGTAAAAACATGAAAGGCATTCTTGTTGAATTGAAGAGATTTGAGAAGTGAGCCAAGGACTACAAACCAAAACCTACAGCCTAAAAAAGGACAGCTTCTAGGGCCCGCTACATAACCATGATTTTAGTTTGGATTCACACTTAATGTTACAGTTGGTATATTAACTTTAACAAATGTGGTCCAGATTTACACAAGTACTGGTAGATTAAGGTCATGTAATTATCCACTAGTTACAGTTTGAATTAACATCTTAAGAACTGTGCTTTTATTGTGAAGGATCTACTGATGTTGGCTCTGCTTTTTGTCTATATGCAAGCTTCGCTGTCTGCATTGAGTCTCTGCTCTTTAAATATTTGGTTATTAATTGCATAAACAATTTTTTAACCACACCTCAAATGCTCCTTGCATTTAGATGTGTGTTTTTCTGCTTTTTAAATGTTTTATCTCATATATTAGTTAGTATTCAGAACAACAACCCCTTTGACATATAGTATAAAGTAAAAATAGTAAATAATAATTTAAATATTATTGGTCTTCCATAAGGCTTGACATTACTCCAAAGAATTAGGAAGCATGTTTTAAATACATCCGACTTTTCCCCAACATCATTTTCTCTGGAGGTGCACACTGTAATATATAGTGATCATTGGAAACATTGTGATGAGTGTTGCAAATATTACAATACAGGCCACAATAATATAACCCAACAATACAAATACAATGTCTCTTTTCTCATTTATATTTGCATTTTGCTAGTAGTAAGTGTAACTGATTGATTATTGTAACATTCTCAACTGTAACTGTGATTGTATAATAAACTGAATACTGCTATAAAACATTTGATAACCACTGGTTTTGTTATAGTTAAGAAAAGCTTGTTTGAAATAAATTAAAACTACGCCAAGACTCGAGTACACAACCTCTATTTAAAAAATGTGTAGCATTTTGAAAAAGTTGACTTGTTAGATATGCCAGGGGATGATAGTTTAAACATATATCTTTTTGGATAAGGGTCCTCCCCCTCATATAAAAATGAGGTTTTTTAGAAAGAAAAGATTTTACATGAAGGTGTTCGTGGCGCAATTGTAGGACATACTCTGAGCTATTGTTGGTGTTTGCACTATCACTTGTTTTTTTCACATTTTCTTTTTGTGACAAAATCTAGCAAACAGTCAGAGTGATACAACACTGCTCAGGTAAGCTGAAGTCTTGGGTTCGATCCTCATGAGGCGCAGGAGTTTTCAAATTCTCCAACCCAAAGTTGAGAATGAGTTTACCAAATGAAAGGTTTACCTCTCAGGTCAGATGGCTCAGAGGGATAGAAGACTGACTGTGAGACTGCAGGTTGTGGGTTCAAGGCTTTTCAGGTGCAGTCATCTTTAAGGTCCAAAAAGCCAAATGAGCAGGTCAAAAGCTCTACGAAACAATGATGACTCAGGACAGATGGCGCAGACGGATATGTGACGGGTCAGAAGACCTGATGTTGTGTGTTCGAATCCTTGTGATGCTCAGTGATTTTTAAAGAGCTTTACTCAAAATGATGAGGATAAATGCGCCCAGAGGACAGGTCTTCATGTACATGAGTTGGTGGCTATTTGGGTTTGTTCTCGGCACTTAGGTGACTTAGTGCGCAATGAGGCGCCTAAGTGCTGGGAACAGATCTGCTGCTTAGCATGTGCGGGGTTCGAGTCTACTAGAGGCAAGGTAGCTAATACAATAGGTCCAAAATAGAGAAATAAAATAGGCCAACAAAATAGGTGAAAAGTAGAATAAATAGAGTTCCAAGATAGGATAGGTGACCAAGTAGAAAAGCATAGAGAAATACCGGTAATGTAAACATTGAGCTCAATTAGGGGATAAAATAAATTAGTCTTTTCTTTTCTAGATACTTAACTCTGACCGTTTGCACTATGTAATGAATTTACCAAATGAAAGGTTTACCTCTCAGGTCAGATGGCTCAGAGGGATAGAAGACTGACCGTGGGACTGCAGGTTGTGGGTGCAGTTGTCTTGGATGAGACTACAACTCATGATATCTGCCCATTATTTGTATCTGTCTACGAAAATACTCGCATCTCATACTTAAGTAAAAGTAATAATACAGCAGCGTATGGAAATAAGTCAGTTTAGTAAGGCACAAAATGTTTATTTAAAAAAGTCACACTTAACTATGTAATTATTAAAAAGTAATTAAATAGTCACAACACTTTTTTTAAATTTACAGTTGAAAAAAGTCAGTATAGTTTGTCTTGAAAATAAGTAAAGTATATAAAACACATTTCATAAAGAAGTACGTCAGATCAAATGTAATAAAGGTCGTATGTCATCTTTTTGAAATGTTATACTATGACTTTTTTATATTGCTCTACATGCTGTACGATGACTATTTACATCATATTTTAAACAAACTATACTACAGCTTTATTTCTAACAACTATACCATTACTTTTTATTCCAGAAATTCCATACTATGACTTTTAAAAGTTTTTCACAACATATTAGATAGTGTTTATTTATTATTTAATACATTTATTTCTGTGTTTATGTATTATTTAATAATAAATAAACACAGGAATAAATAATGATATATATATATATAATAATAATAAATGTAATAATTATAATAAAATGTATTTAATATATTTATTACAGTGTTTATTTATTATTTCTATACAGTATATTCCTGCATTTATTTATTCCTATATTATTTTGTTAATTTATTCCTTTATTATTGTCTTAATTTATTCCTGCATCTATTTGATCATGCCTGTGTGAGATTTGAACCCTATTTTCTTTGTTTAGTGGACCTACAGTCCTTGACTCTAACCTCTAAGCTATTTTGTCTCACAAAGTTTCTCGGTGAATCCCAGACTGAAGTATGTATCATTCACTAGAAAGTGCTAGGGCTGTGTGTTTTGAGGCTCAAACATGAGATGGAGATGTCAAATATGCAAAGGAACATCCAACTCTCTCAGGTCAAATGGCTCAGGGTGATAAGAATGACGGTTGGTAGACCAGAGGTTGTTGGTTCCAGTCTAGTGCGTTCCAGATAGATTTTAAGGTGTCTTCACCTTAAGGAAGAAGTCAAATACAAGTAAAAGCCAGGACTTCTCATCTGCTCCAATGGCTCACAGAGATAGAACAATGGTTGGTAGACCAGAGGTTGTTGGTTCCAGTC